GTTCACACGATTTTTGTTAATGGCTCATTTACAACTGTTTTATTCATCCGTTTCAAACGATTATTGGATTGATAACAAACGAACGATCGAACCAAACTAATGGAGACCTAAATGACTGTATTAATAGAAAGCTTGGTTAGCTGCTCAATTTATTTTATTTTATTTATTTCTTGTGGTGAGAGAAGTATTAAAAAAGAAGAAGAATTGGTGATGATTTTGATGCGAGGCAGAAAGCTACTGGTCATTATTGTGGTAAAATGATTATATAATGGTTAGAGTTTGTTGTGGTTTGTGTCTATGTGAGGGTCTCTTTTGTTTATTAACATACTATGTGATATGTCTCTCCATGATGTCACATGGCTCTTGTAATATTTTATTTCTTCTGGTCCACATTACATTTTTTTGTGTGTGTGTTGTGCGCCGTTTCTTTACTTTATTTTTTTTTTGTTCTCCGACGAAACAAAGGTTTGCTTTTTCTTTTAAATGGTCCATACGCATTACATAATGCGGCCATTGCTTTACACATTAATTGCCGCATATATCTAAAGAAAGCCTTGGAGGATATATTATTATATTTTTAAAAAAATTCATAACTCTTATTGAATCCAATATAGACAAGTATTAAGAGTCGAGTAAAAAAAGAGAGAAAAAGGACGATTATAATTTTGTAGTGACAAGACCTTAAGTTTATAAATTGTCTCATGTGGGTTGGAGACAGACAGTTAATTGAATAGTTGAGAGACAAGGCGTGTCCTGAGGGAGAAGAAGGGTCGTGATCGGTCAATCTACACGTGTACGGCAGAAACACATGTGTCGTTTCCCTGTGAAAGATGATCAACGGTCAGATTTTGTCGACTACATGACTTGCCAACATGGAAGAACACAACAAGGCCTTGGTCACGCGCGCTCGGCTCCACTAAGAGCTCATCGTCACATTTCCTTCTTCAAATTGTGCACTCCCCACTAATAGTATTCATTTCGGATGTCTAGTGAAAACAGATATTACGAAATTCACCACCTCAACTGCTAGTCACGGTCATTGACAAAATAATAAGAAATAGGATAAACTCTTTCCGAAACACAGATCCAAAGTACGACGAAGATGCACTTGTGACATAGTTCGCTAATCGCAACTGTAACTATTCTTCTCCTTTCACTCTTTCTCAAACTAGGTCTCTAAACTCTCTCTGTTTTTCAGATTTTTCAAAAACAAAAAACACTTGATGATGTAACAAGCAGTTTTTTTTTGTGTGAATATAATTTAACATTCCTTCAAAACAAAAAAAAATAATATTACGAAATTCATATATGATCATTGATACACTACCACTATGATCGAATCTCATAATAACTACTTTTCCATCAGTAGATATAATCATTCGATATTCTAGTTTGCTATTAGGAAATCATCATTGCTATATAATATGACAATAAGGAGATTCTCAACTTCCACGTGCATTCCACTATTATTCTTTACATATGCGGCTATATTTGCAAAGCTGATATATAGTTCGCATTTGATTTTTGAGTTTTCTTGTTAAACACTTAAAAACCACTTT